CTACAGCCTGCTCCAACAGGTAGGCTGAAAAAAAGGCATGAACAGTAGGGATCCAGGAGCCTTATGAAATGATGCAACTGGGAAGGTGGCAGAGTTGTTACCATTAAAGCAGCCTTGCCCCTAGGTGTGACTAAAAAACTGCAAGTATCTGTCACAGCAAGTACGGGGTAACTTTTCCCTTGCCTCTTGGTGATCCAGAATCCTGGAGGGAAGCTTGACTTCCCCTCCCTGTAGTGTCACAGCACATGGACTGGCCTTCAGGCATTGAGGACTGTTCAGTTTGGAGTTTGGCTGGAGGGTCCAAGGACTTCCCTCCAGATTTCCCTCCCTCAGTGCTTGTACCCAGCTAACCCTCTCTGTTCTCGGCTAGGTTTCTATCATCTGGAAGGACAGCTTCACTGGCTGTTTATTTCCATCCTGCAAGCCAGACAGCCAGAAGAGGTCCATGCAAGATCTCAGCTGGCTCAAGAACAGCTGCTGTCTTTTAGGAGGGGATAGTCATGACAATGCAATGTCAGAAGAAAGTGTCAGCCAGTGCTTGAAGGAATATTTCCCTTGCTTTCTATGACATGCATCTGCAAAACACTCACTAGATATGAAAAGTAATAAACATTTGCTAGATAATAATCCCAGACTATGTTTCCTTGATGTGCTAAACTAGATGATTTTGTGAGGACCCTTCAGTGACTGATGCTAGCAAAACCAGCACTGAAGGGATTTCCAGTTGCGGGCTCAGATTCTTTTTCCTGTGTTGTCATCTGTTTTGGACTTTGCTCTTTGTTACCTAGTTTTGACTAGACCTTTCTCTAAGAATGAGGAAAAACCCTCTAATCACCCTTTGTGTACTCTTATGGGAGAAATTCAAGTAACTGGCAAAGTAATAAATCCTCACTACACATCACTAGTTTTTCTCATGAATATATAAAAAAGACTTTTACCACTGGTTGGAGGGGGAGAAAGCAAAGGTTAGTGCAGTTTCTCTCCTTTGTTACCACAACAGCCTGCTAAAGAAACATCTCTCCCTCTGTTCAGCTATTGCACTAGCCGAGTCCATGCAGTGGGACTGCGAGTCATGTCACCAACAGCTTTGCAAGAACAGAACTATTTCTACATCCTAACAAAAGCAGTTCTGTAGCTCAGCATAATAAATTCATGAAACATCTGTGAAAAGTCTTGAAACAACATGCCACTTCAGGACAAACAGACTTTCTTCTGGGGTCCCACGTTTCAGTGAAAATCTTTGCTTCTCAGCACATGCTGCCAAAATGTTATATTAAAAATATGATACCATAAAAAAGAAAAAATGTTAATAAAGCATGATGCCATTTTTATTTAGGTTTTTAGCAACCTCAGAAAGGCAATTATAATTAAAAAAAAAAAGGCAAACCAGCAGCCACGTATTAGCATTCTTCACGCTATACCCCTACTTCCTTGCATCTGAAGCAAAGCCCTTCTTTACCCATCTCTGCTGCCCCACTCCCTTTTTGTGCAACCTGTGTTGGGAGGGGG